CCCCTTAAAAAATGTTAAACTTATAGTTTGAGTCAAAGTACTTTCGCCTTCTGATGCGGTATCCGTTTCCGCTGGAACGGAATTCGACGCAAAAAATCGAATTATGGAGAGAAGCTGTGACACGCGCTTGGCATGTGTTTACGCAATCCAGGGTCAACACTCGCAGTACATATCGTTTTAGATAAACAGCGATCCGTTTCTCTTCTCTCCTTCACTCTCTTTTATTGAACCACGAATACGTTTAAATGTACTCGATCGAAAACGCTGAGTCAATGAGAAAGAGGCGAAAAGAAAAAAGAAACATTATTCCATAAAAGTCGCGACGATGATGTACCGACATTTAACCGGAAAAAAAATAAACGATTGCCTCTGCCAATCGGGTTTTGTATTGCGCGTCTGTTTCGCGCCAGGATTAAACGGAGTCGGCGACGAAGCGTGCGTGATACATTCGGGCCTGTTTTGTATACGTGATATGTATATAAACAACACGCGCTAATACGGCGCGGCGGTATGTATTACATTGCAAGGAAATAATTGCAAAACGATAGGCGGATATGTAGTACAAGATGCGTGCACGTGTGGGGCTTCGTCATTATCGCGACTGCTCTTTGAGTCGGTATGTTTTGTGCCGATGCAATATCTCAGGTTACTACCGCAAACGAACCCGGGTGTGGCTTACAATTAGTCACTAAACATCTGGATGCTTCCACCCTATCTTACCTGCATCCGCCGGCTACAATGACTCGCGTGGCTTTGATCTCGAAATGCGAGATGCATTATAAATCAAATCGTTAGATTTATGATTTTTATATTCCTGATTTATATAATTTCTATTTGACTATCCGTTCATTATCATATTGTGTGAAAATTGTCAAACAGATTTTCATAAAATTTCGAAGAAATATAGTCTTGGAATTTTTTTTTTGATATTTTTTTTTTGATAGTCTTGGATATTTTTCGACAGAATATTTTAGGAAGATAGCTTGATAGACTATGATATATTACGAACAAAGTTTATTTCTATCCCATTTTTTTTTCTTTCTCAAAATCTGTACATGCTGTTTCACATTTCAATTATTTTACTGTTAAAAAATATTGCTCTCATTAAAATGTAATTTAAAAAAAAATAAAAAAAATAAAAAAAGCGCAATTAAAACGGCAGTTAATAATAAGTGAGGAGCTTACCTAAATAACATCGCAAAGCGACGAATATGTTCCCTTCACGGTTTCAGCCTGGATGTCAAGCCACCTGTAAGATGTAATGATGTAACAATTAGAAATGAAACACGAAACTATACGAAACATATATTACAAGTTCGATTAAAGATGGAAACAAAAACGCACGGGCAAAAAATGATATTTGCGTCCTTTTATTACGTCACCAGACGCAAAGTATGTTAACAAGTTTTTTTTCTTTATTATTAATATTATATGATTTAGTACTTTTGTATTTGTTTTAATAAATATGCTATATACTTTATATATAATAATTCAATATAATGTTTTTTTCTTATATATAACTTGTGCAATTATTTGTCTAACCTATTTCTTTAATATACCTCTCACATAGTTTCACCATCTCCAGTTAACTTAACCAAACGATTATTCCATTGGAATTAATCAATCGCATTTGTCATTAAAGCAAAATTAACAAATGCGATTGGTCAATTTCAATGGAATCGACCGGTTAAATTAACCGGAGTTGGTGAAACCGGCCCTAAGGATGAATATTTGACTCCAACTGTAAAATGATTGTTCACTCGTAACAATAGAGTGAAAGTTTCACTTTAAGAAAAGGTGAAAAATTCACTCTGATCGAGTGAATTATTTTATCTATAATGGAGTTAAACATTTACTCCAAACGAGTGAAACAATCACTTTACAGTTGGAGTCAAATACTCACCCTTATGAAAAGTGCAATGTCACTCCATTACGCGCGGCAGTATTATGACTATCGACCCGAGTGAATTTTAACTTCTTTTGAGTTAAATCTCACTCGAAGAAATTTAGAGAGTAGGAGTGAGAGATGCTGCAAGAAAAATTGAATCGATTGTAAACACGTTGCCGATAGATCCGATCGGTCCTAAAAAAACATGTTGCAGATTATCACGTCCGCGACGGCAAATCTGCTATACGATTGATAAACGGCGGACGAAGGGTGGTTTGTGTGGTGATAAAATGCCGCCCCCCCCCCCCGAGACGTTGTGAAAATAGTGGACGCGTAATCTATAATAGGGTGAAACTAAATGCTGGGATTAAACATACCGGTTTGGCACGTGTCGCGTTAATGAACACTATGTTACACGTCGCTCGCCGCCCTCCACAGCCGTAAATGTAATTACGCGCGTAATTGAGGCGACACTTACGGATTTCCAATCGTGCGAATCATGCGAGCGAGCTCGATGTACACAACTCGAAACATTCAACGTAATTTACAATAACAGCCGCATTATAGGCACGTAATAATATTCTTTTTATTACTCACTAAATTATTTTTCTTTCTAATAAAAAAAAGAATGGGTTCTCCGAACTGCAATAGAATTTAGAATAAAAAATCTTTTGATAAGCTGCAGACGGACAAACGGAAGGTTATTCTTCGGTTAAACTTAAATCTTATTTAGCGAAATCCTGAAATAAAACGCAGTTACCGAGGTATATTTAACCTTTCAAAACACGCACCTTAATTAAATTGTATCGGGAAAAATTATTCCAGTTCTCAACAAGAAATATCGTCACCAAACGCGCTTATTACCGCACACTCCTATGTAATGTAATTTAAATGATTGCATTCACGTTATAGCGAGTAATGTCACGGCATTGATTCTTGAAAAAACGTTCGACGTGACCGTAGGTACTTGTTCAGGTCGGTTTTTTTATTGGCTCCTGCCACTTTCCAGAGAGCAATATGGCCAAATTAGTCCACTGATTGTGTACGTTGCTTGAGAGGGGTGCTACTAGTATGCTGATATTGGCGGTATTGCCACTTGAGATGTCTGTCTTATATAGAAGGATATCGAGCGTTGGAGGGAGGACAAAGAGTGGGGGAGATGAGAGGCTCAGGTCGATTTACGATAGTTATGCAGATATATTTATTCTGTCCCGGGATAAATGATCCATAGACTATCTAAGATAACGTACAACTTGATTCTGGACATAAATATTTACAGTAGCAGCTAAATCTATAATAATGCGCGCAATGTTCAGACTTTGGATATTCGACTAACAGGAGAACAAAACCGCGCGACAATGCGCGGTTATCGATCGGCGCAGTCGCGGCGGCGATGGACCATATGTCTCGAGATGCCCTTAAATTTTATTCTTGTTTATTTTATGTAAATATTACGAAACAGAATCGTGAGAAACTTTCTAGGCGGCATCGTTTGCTTACTTAGTCCTTAAAAACTAATTTCCCTCTAATCTAAAACGATGCAAAAGGTTATAATACGGTGAAAAAAAAACGTAATTTGCATAAAATATCATTAAAACGAAATAACGTATACCAAAAGATCTCAATATTTAGTTATCGATATGTTTAAAACTGCAACGATCAATTATGATAAATAGAAGTGATTAATTGTAAAGGATAGAAAAAACCGAGTGGATAAGTAATACCAAAAAATATTTCCATGAATATATCTGATCCTTATTATCTACATGTTGTATATAAAGAAAAAATGTATGTTCAAGAAAAGCTATACGTAGAAACAAAAACAAACTTTATATCTTTGCATTTTATCCATTACGCAACTTGGCTAAAATTGTAAAAACTCTACTGCGATTTTTATCTGCTGTATTTCCTGGTACAGTAAATAATATTTTCGCCGTGCGTTCGCAGTGTCGTACGAAACTCGCAGATCGTTTAATAATTGTTCGAGTTTATGTAAACTCTATTATCTTTGTATCAGAGCAGTTCAGATAAACGCTATGACGATTATACAGCGAGAAGTTTAAGAATAAAAAAAAGAGAAAGTTTTACTTTACGCTACCGAATACTTTGCTAGAAGGAAAAAATTTACAGATACAGAAAAATTGAAACGAAATACATTTTACGCATCCATGTCAGTAATCTAAAAGAATAACACAGGATTTTCGTGGAGAGAATTGCTCCTTAGCCGCGTGGGAGACGACCACGTCAGTCGAAGATGCAGAAAACGTAAGGGAATTCACTATTCTGACGCACACGGTGCATCAGATAAAAGAGCGAGAGAGAGAGAGAGAGAGAGAGAGAGAGAGAGAGAGAGAGAGAGAGAGAGAGAAAAAGAAAGAAAAAGAGAGAAAGACGAAGCCGGAGTCCAGATATAGACTGGTTATGGGTAATAGTTTGGTAGGTTGTAGTGGTAGCGAGCGGCAGGACCGGTAGGTTTGGTTTACTTCAGGTTCGTTGCGGCCGGTTAGCTACTCTCTTCTTTTTCTTCTCTTCTGTCTTCTTCCTCATCTTTTTTTCTTCCGCCGCCGCCGCCGCCGCCATCATCTCCTTCTCGTTCATAATTTTCTCCCTCTATCTTTTTTTTGCGACGCTTCTTTTTAACGCCAAAGGGAAGATGTAACAAAGTGCATTCACAAAAGTGACCGCGCGTCGGTGCGTTCGCCGAGTGTGTTTGCGCCTGACACGGAATACTTTAATATTAGATACATTATATAAAGTGCGACTAATAACACGATGAACCGCGGATTGCATTTCAGGTGAACGAATGTAGCTCGTCATTCATATTTCTAAGAACGATCGGTCGCGGATCGCTGACGAATCGAGAGTAAAGGCGCTGCCGCCGCGCATTACTCGCCGAGTTTGTCATCGCTCATTCAGGTGGACATGTGTTAATCGGGGGACGACGGATCGCGGGATCGCCGATACAATCCCCGCGTGAACGTCAATTACGTCCAGCCGTTTCATCGATGTAACGAGAAACTCTATACTCGTCGGAATCTCCAGCGTCAAAGGCGCACGATATCCATTATTATTGTATTACGCCCATTGCGTAATCCCACGCGTTTAATGCTTTTTACGCGGGACATGCCTCGTACCCGCGAGAGTAAACCCGCGCATACGTCAGGAAGGGACGGAGGGGGCTCGGGTCTCGAAGTGGCTCGGCTGATTTCGCAAGTGCTCGGATTCCGCTCGTTGCACTGGCAGACATGCTGGCAGCGGCGGGCCTTCACCGTGGTAGTGCGAATCAAATCGCGTGCGTGCATGTGTGTGTGTGTGTGTGTGTGTGTGTGTGTGTGTGTGTGTGTGTGT